TTGCACAAACGTCACTCACTATTCCTCCTTTTTTGCGGCCTTTTTACTTCTTCTTTATATCTATCTATCCTTCAACACATTTAGGGCGAGAATAAAACTCCGTTTTCCTTTTTTTGTTTTTCTTCTTTGGAAAATTTCGATTTTCTTATTGAAAATAGTAAACACTTTTATGTGGTTGTTCTTTGTTATTTACATGCAAAGAAAGAAGAAGAATTTTTGAATTTGATTATTTGTTTTTTAAATGCAACACATTTTAGATTTTCGTTCTGTGTCCTATTTAGAAAATCTGTTGTTGGGGATTTTTTGCTGTTTTTTCGGGATGTTTATCGGCGTTTATCTTTTACACAAATACACATTCAACCATCATCTTCATCATCACACATAGAAAATATAACATTTGCACTATTTTGCTCTCTGCTCTGCTCTACGGGCTGACACTGCTGCTGCAGCTGATGCCGACTGATGTTTGAACTAAACAACAAATTCAAACATTTATGCGAAAAATAAACAGCAGCAAAAAACAAACAAACATCGACGATGACGACGCCGTGTTTTTACATACAGCACACACACAATCGCACAGGGACTGACTCTCCAACACTCTGTGAGTGAGTGGCACACAAAAAGGGAATTTCAACCAATAACAAAAACAACGAATTCTTGTTGGTGTGGTAGATGAGATTACACTGCTGGCTGCCTGGCTGACTGAGTGCCTGTGCCTGCTTCACTGTTTATCACACACTCACACACAGTTTGTTATTGTTCTTCCTGTTGTTGGAGTGCCGAAGTGCAGCACCAATTGGCGTCGCTGTTGCAGTAGGGCGGCGACTACGACGACGACGGTGAATAAGGGAAAATATTTTATGTGTCGCGTATATCAGTCGGGTATTATAAAAACTTCACACAAAACTCTCGCTGTATAGAGAACTGAACTTCTTCCTTCGTTCGATAAATGCTTCTTCTTGTCAAGCAAAATTTTCTTTCTTCCAAAAAGGATGGGTTGGTTGGTTTTTTGGTGATATTTTATTACTGTATTTTTTGTCAACTTCCGTAAAATATGTTAATTATTTTGGTTATTTTGTTTTCAAGGAAGATCGAATTAATTCACTTGACTTGTATATTTTGCTAAAAACTTTACTTTTTCTCTTCACTTCGCTAATGGAGTTATGCTGAAGAAAACAAAAACTTCCTTTTTTTCACACACACCAAAATTTTTAATCGAAATTTTAGGAACTAAACTTGCCGACTGTTTTCAAACTCTATTGCAGTTATGAATTCCACTTTCTTTAATATTTTTCTGTTAATAATGAATGATGGATTTTGGGGTTTTTTGCATTTATTCCGACATCAAATATCAAATACCTCTTCACTGTTTCAATTACTGCCGCGACAACGAACGGACTCTTCGGCCGCAATAAATTTACTCATACGGCTGCAGCTCTCAACAATAGGGTATTGTAAGTCGACATTGGATTAATCGATTGTTTGTAAGCAAATCGATTTTTTTATTATATCAAATGGTTTATCGTTATTGTACTGTACAAAAATGAAGGAAAAACATTTATGAATCGTTATTTTTTATATTTCAAGAAATAATTTTATAGCAAAGGAAATACTTCAACAAATTGAAACACCATTAACATTTTTAATAAATATGTAAGGAACCCGTAGAAATGGTATGTTTAAGTACTAAAAAAAGTAGAAAAACTTAAAATAATTATAAAGACAAATAAAAAATATACATTTCGATTAATATAATATTCTTATAAGTCCTGGAACAGAGCAAAAATATGTGTGACTGAACAATTTTAATTTCGGATCAGTTCCCGTACTCAAAAAGTGGTAGAAATGTTCAAATTTATAAGTCAGTTTATTTTTGTTGTAACAAATTGTCCGATTTATTAATTCATTCTATAAAATCGTGGTCGAATTAGGTTGATTGAGTGGTATGTTACCGTGCTACTTCTTGCTACGATAATGAATTTTCCTATATGATATCGAAGAAAATAAAAAAATTAGTAGATTAATGCAGTACGGAAACATATGAGTGTGTTTTAGTTTAGGGTTTATGATTTAGCCAAAACAATTTTTTGCCAAAACTCTACATTACGATGTGATCAAATCTACATCTGCAGAGTATATGCTCGATCGTTTGCGGTTCTTCTTTATCCTCACATACTGCTGTCAAAATTATGTTTAGTACAGCGAACGGCTTCGATCCTGATTACCGGAGCGCTAAGAAGTACACCACAGGCAGCCTTGAATGCGATCATGAATCTCCGACCACTGGACATTCTTATTAAATTCCAGGCGGCCACATGTGCTCTGAGGCTCCGGGAAACGGATGCCTGGAAATCGCTGAACTATGGTCACGCTAGTATCCTCAACATAACGCCAAGTTCTGATCTCTTGAGGGGAAATAATCACTTCAGTGACTATGTTCCTCTCACAGAGACTTTAATGACATCAAAGTAGAGTTTCTTAGTAAGGAATCCTGGACTTGCGGCTTCTTACCTCTGATGAAGGAAGGCACTGGTGCAGGCGTTTAGGGAATTAGAAACATACAACTCATATAAACTTAACAATCGTTTTAGCGTTTTTCAAGCTGAAATCCTTGCAATCACGAAAGCGGCCGAGATAGTAAAATCACCTACTGCCGATATTGCGGGACTGGTGACTATATATGCCGATAGTCAGGCGGCCCTAAAGGCGGTGAAGTCGTGTACTATAAACTCAAAAGCAGCTCATGATTGCAAGTCCGCTCTGAATGATATACGACAGATAGCTTATGTTGGGTTCCAGGACATAATGACATTGAAGGGAACAAGAAAGCCGACGAGCTCGAGGGGGCTCACAATCGTCCAATCTTCCGATTGAGAGATTTGTGAAACCACCCATTGCCTATTTCATTGGCAAAATCCGCTTGTTCTACGGCGAGGTAGTCGGTAACAGATCGTCGAGAGAACCTGGTTGCAGAATCTCAAAATCTATCTGGCCTGAATTTTCTCGCCAAAGAACTTCTTCGCTGCAGGCACATAATAAGAGAAAGATCAAAATCATTGTGGTGATCATAACAGGTCACTGCAAGATTAGATCTCTCACTTCGAAATGGGACTCCGGTGAAGAGGATTACTGTCGTCTATGTGAGGACGAAGAAGAGCTAGAAACAATTGAACATATCCTCTGTAAATGTCCATCGCTGATTGGCAGAAGACATAAACAGTTTGGAAGATATGAAATTGATAATCTAGCCTTCTTCTCTAAAAATAGACCCCAACCAGATCCTAGGCTTTGTCAAGAATCTGATATGGCTAAAATAACCATCTCTCCGCTCACCTTCTATCACTATTTTTTTCCTGCTCTTCCACTTTCTCTTCCTCTTTGCAGGTAAAAAGGATGATCACAATGGACAATAGTCTTCGAGTGGACTGTTGTTACTAAAAACCGTACATCCCTAACCTAACCTTATCCTCACATAGGCGGCAGTAATCATCATCTAATTATGCAGTGACCAGTTATTATTCATATACCTAGTTTCATCACTTTCTTGTACAGAGAAATCAATGATTTAGATCGTCGCCAAATGATTTTTGGAGTCCGAATCTAGTTTTCTCACGCTATCGAATTCCAGGATTTTCGAAGTAAATTTTACTTTCGCCAATGTTGCAGGTAAGAGGTGGGTTTACAGTGGCATCTGCCATATCAATCGGCTATTAAACACTAAGAGCAAGTCTGCTTTTTCTTTCCCTATTGACTTGGAACCCAAAAAAATTTAACGAAATTACGTATATCACACATAACTTCTGTGCAGTCATTAACCACATGAACCATTTAAAGTCTGAGGATCGCTTGACAATCGACATACATAGTAACCTGTCTTAAAAATACAACCCTTCAGCTCGTCTATAAAGAATCCCTTCAGCTCGTCTATAAAGAATCCCTTCAGCTCGTCTATAAAGAATCCCTTCAGCTCGTCTATAAAGACTCCCTTCAGCTCGTCTATAAAGACTCCCTTCAGCTCGTATATAAAGACCCCCTTCAGCTCGTATATAAAGCCTCCCTTCAGCTCGTCTATAAGACTCCCTTCAGTTCGTATATAAAGCCTCCCTTCAGCTCGTCTATAAAGACTCCCTTCAGCTCGTCTATAAAGACTCCCTTCAGCTCGTCTATATAAAGACTCCCTTCAGCTCGTCTATAAAGACTCCCTTCAGCTCGTCTATAAAGACTCCCTTCAGCTCGTCTATAAAGACTCCCTTCAGCTCGTCTATAAAGACTCCCTTCAGCTCGTCTATAAAGACTCCCTTCAGCTCGTCTATAAAGACTCCCTTCAGCTCGTCTAGACTCCCTTCAGCTAGTGTATAAATTCTAACTTCAGCTCATTTATAAAGGCCAATCGAACCAATGCCAAAAATATTAATAACTTACACATTTTAAAGAAATATAAACATTTATTTCATTTCAATTTGTTACATTACGTACTCCATTATAACTTACATTCATATATATTTTTTGTTAATATCTAACTTCTTCATTACAAATTGTTCAGATTTAAATAAAATTATATATTTATTAATACTATGACTTATGATAAAATCACGGCAGAAAAAGAAATATGCAATGAAAAACGAAGCAAAATCTACAATCGATTATAATTTGCAATACACACACTGCTACACAGTATTCAGTGAGTAAAAAAATCACAATGAGGTGGATATTATTTGCATACTACATGGAGGTCATGGAGGGATTGGAGGACTTAAAATGGGTGCTAAAATGATAATTCAATTTTTCAGGATAAGTTTTTTGTGGTTAGGTGATGATGGTGAATACAAACATTTCAAAGCTACAAATTCATGTTTTATATTTATTTGCTGTTGTTTTTGTTTTGTTTCTAATATATTTAAATACTTTTAAAAGCACACTTAATTTATGTTGTCGCAGTGAGTTTAACAATTTATTGAAGAGCATCATCTTAGGGCATAATGCTACTTATTACAGCGCCAGCTGAGATCCGTTTATTTCCTTTTCTTGTATTTAGAAAATATCCTTAATATAATTGTTAATAAAATTCTGAATAAGATCGGGTAATTCGGGTGCATAGCAAATATATTTATGACCATATTTCCGTGACCCCTCGAAACGATGAAATTCGACGGGACCCCAAGATTTGCCACGTGTATCCAATGCAATACGATATAACTTGTAGCCCAATTGAAAGGGTACTACATAATCATCCTCGGCATGTAAAATCATTATCGGTTGACGGAATTCACTAATGTGTTGATCCGATTCAAATCGCAACGAATTTAAATACATTGGTCGGGCAATTGTGTGATCGAACCAGGGTAAATGTTTGAAGGGCTGTAATGGAAAAAAGATGAGAAAAATTAAATATTTAATTATATATAAAAAAATATTCTAAAAAAATAAGTTAAAAATTAAAATTAGAAGTCATCTGGTTTCATAGACGAACTGGAGGGAGTTTTTAGAGAAGAATTGAAGGGAGTCTTTATAGACGACCTGAAGAGTGTTTTTATGGAAGAACTGAAGGGAGTCTTTATAGACGACCTGAAGGGAGTTTTTGTAGACATGCTGAAGGGAGTTTTCGTAGACGAGCTGAAGGGAGATTTTATAGAAGATCAAAAGGGTGGATTTATGGACGAGCTGAAGGGAGTCTTTATAGACGAGCTGAAGGGAGTCTTTATAGACGAGCTGAAGGGAGTCTTTATAGACGAGCTGAAGGGAGTCTTTATAGACGAGCTGAAGGGAGTCTTTCTAGACGAGCTGAAGGGAGTCTTTATAGACGAGCTGAAGGGAGTCTTTATAGACGAGCAGAAGGGAGTCTTTATAGACGAGCTGAAGGGAGTCTTTATAGACGAGCTGAAGGGAGTCTTTATAGACGAGCTGAAGGGAGTCTTTTTAGACGAGCTGAAGGGAGTCTTTATAGACGAGCTGAAGGGAGTCTTTATAGACGAGCTAAAGGGAGTCTTTATAGACGAGCTGAAGGGAGTCTTTATAGACGAGCTGAAGGGAGTCTTTATAGACGAGCTGAAGGGAGTCTTTATAGACGAGCTGAAGGGAGTCTTTATAGACGAGCTGAAGGGAGTCTTTATAGACGAGCAGAAGGGTGGCTTTAAAGACGAGCAGAAGGGTGGCTTTAAAGACTAGCGAAATGGTGTCTTCATAGAAGAATTAAATGGGAGCCATTAGACGGCCTCACATTATTTGCATGACTAGACTAGAATAGAGTTATCATTACTTACCCTTGCAAATGGATGCATACGTATTTCATCTTTAATATTTGTAAATGGTGCCTCCAAAATGACACCTTTAATACCCTTGTCATTCAGATAATTCAATTGTGACAACATATTTGTTGCAACACCAGTGCCTAACGAATGACCCCATATAAATACTGGATTAGATGTTAAATTTCGTATATAATTGTAGACAGCCATTGCATCACGAACAACACCCTCTTCAGTGGGCGATATCGGATCTGAATCACCATAGCCTCGATAATCAAATGAAATGACATGATATCCTAATTTTCGCAATAATTTATAAACATCTAAACGATGTCCAGATCCTCGTGATGCCGTATTGCCATGTAGATATAGAACAATTGTATTTCCTGGTACCTTCAACAACTGTTCATAGAAAAGTTGTTCATTTTCTGAATTCACAATGGGGAATGATGATTTGAGGGTAGTTTCCAATTTATCTAGGTGTTCATCTGACACCTCGGTAATGTTTTGTAGATCCTCTTTGGCTTCCTAAAAAATGAAGGGTTTAGTATTTCACTGCAACAGGTGTAGAATTTTTAATTGAATACTCACCTCACTTAACTGCAATTCCTTGGTGAAACGTTTGGCCACATGTTTTGGCAAGACATGCCACAATCCAATCCGCACATAACGTTTCTTTTCCGAATTTTCGTCTTCGACATCAGCATCGGGTACATTCAGGTGAAAACTACGTGAGGCATATAGGCCCACACTAGCAGGATTACTTAAATCGAGATCTCTGGGATATGTTACTATATAATAGGACATAAAAAAATAGTGTTCATATAGCCTCGTTTACATTCATCAAATACCAATACAATTGCAATACTTACTGAATGTTAAAAATAAGATGCCTCTTTGTAGCGTTACCGAATATCGAAATACCAGTGGAAATACTATGAATACTAATGAGAATGCCAATAGGCATACTTGTACCGTCACTAAAGAGATTCTGTAATGGAAAATGGCAGCGGCGGGGATGGGGAAAAGAAAAAATAGAAGAAAGTGAGACAAATCGGCATCAGAGAGATGTTATTCAATTAAATTGTTTAGTGCTATTGAATCATAACAAAAAGCTAATTTACATTACATTTTTACTAGACAGAGGATGATTATATGAGCGACAACAATAACTACAAATGACAGTGACAATGATTTGATTATTACATGCATATAAATTAAATAAAAAAGGTGCACAGTGTAGGTCAAATAGCAGCACAATATACATACAACATAAAATACAAAAATGTTTAACAAGCGTGAATAATAGATGAAAATAAAAATCGGAGTCAACTATAAAAGGTCAAACCAACAATGAATACATATTTAAATATCAAAAAAATAGTGATCGTTATCGGAATATATTGCAACTATTTTAGAAGTACTTCGTTTAGACGAATCGGGTAATTTTTTTTTGTCCAGTATGTTTTATATACCTGTAAGGTGAATTATTTGTAAGGTGAATTATTCTGGTAATCAGTTATAATGACACGAGGAAATTTGAATATGGAGGCCTCTATCACCACTCTGTTTGTCATTGTCCACTGGTTGCTGCATAGCTCTTCTGGGAGTTGCTATGCGTGCTGGGAGTTGCTAAGTTTGCTTTGATCAATAGTATTTCTAATTTCTGAGTCTAGTAACCTTTCTAAAGTATTGAGTAGAAAGGAAGAGAGACTAATCGGTCTATAGTCCTTTGGTAGCGTATGACTCGGCTTCCTGGCTTTCAGGATGAAGTTCACTGTTAACTCTTTTCATAGACTAGGTATGTACGATAGCATGGCCGGTGTTATACCATCTGGACCAGGAGATTTATAGGGTTGAAAACTATTTATGGCCCATATCAGTTTTGGATAGCTTATAGTGTTTTCTATCAGCTTCTCCTCTTCCCTCGTCCGAACCATATGCTGATGTGCGCACTGCGCACCCTCATTATGGTCCTTACAACCAGGGAAGTGGGTTGTCTACAGAATATCAAGAGTCTCACTACCACAATTTGTCCACGTTCCGCCACTTCGCTTAATACTACCTATAGATTTCGGATCTTTAGATAGTACTCTGCGAAATCTCGACGCTTCGTTGACTCCTTCGATTGGCTCACCAAGACTCACGTTTAGCCTTCTTGATTTCACTCGTGTACCTATTGAACTGTTCTCTACAAACATCCCAATCTGTACTGAGTTTTATCTTACTAGCTCTATTGTATGTTTTCCTTGCAGCCTTCCTCGGCAGAGATCTTTTCCCAGGGTATGTTAAAGGATATGAAGCCTTATAGCTCTTCAGAAGAGTTACCGTGTCATTGTTCACAGCTCCCTCAACCGTTATGAGATCGTTGTGAACCAGGATTGAGGCTGCTGTTTTGGCTTTGAATTTGTCCCAGTTTATCTTCCGAGGATTCCTATAAGGCTTTTGTTTACCGCTGGAGGTAGGAATCTGGAAAAATATCAGTCTATGATCTGAAAAGGAGCATTTCTCAGATTCTTCCCAGTTTATAACCCCAAAGTCGTCCATATTAGTGAGGGTTATGTCAATGACTTCATCACTCACTCTATTAACGATCATTGGAAAGGGGATAGTTTGATCACCCACATTTTGGGACAGAGACTGTCCGTGTTGGTTAATAAAATGAGGAAATCGCGAAGCTCATTACAAAAAAGAAGCAGTTATATGGGGCAAAAAATCGAATGAACCGCAAGAACAAACTTGAACAACAAGCCTATGCTCAGAAGGATAAACCAAACCGAAAGTCAAACCCGCAAAAATGAATTAGAGCTTCCCGTCGACTGATAGCAAGAAGAGGAATATCCAATCCGAAGTCCAAAATGACTAACCGGACTTCATGAAAGGGGAAAACTGCGACAGCCGATGGTAAGGGGCAGTTATCTTTCGCTAAGGTTGCCAGGTGGCGCGAAATAGGGATACGTAATCGAGCGCAAAAGTCGACTTTTGGACTTTTCGATTTTTGCATTTGACTAAAAAGTCGACTTTTCGATCTTTCGATTTTGTCAAACCGGTTCAAAATCGATTTTCGACCTTTACCGACTAAAGCAACATCGACGTAAAATTTGATTTTTTAGAAGAATTATTGTCAACAGATCAAAGTTCTGGAATGTGTAATTTTTGGGATTTTTCGGCTTTGTGATCAAAAATTAGGTATTTATGAAGAAAATAAAAAGTCGACTTTGCCATTTCCTCAAAGAGCACAAGTCGACTTCGACTTTTAGACTTTTCAATACCAAAAGTCGAAATTTACTTATCCCTAGCGCGAAAGAGACAAGATCTGCTATGCAGGGATCGACGAAAACAGCGCGTCTGGAATACTAGAAAAGGAGACCCAAAAGGAAGTGAAAGATACGGTTAACAATAAGATCATGGACAACCTACTGCAAGAGTCTTCCACAGGAAAGAGGAAAAAAATGGAACTCTACTTATGGTGGGCCCAGACAGTTCTTCAATAGCAAGTCTGGTCCAGACTAAGGTCAAAGCAAACTACGCAACACCAAAACCATATCGGTCAATAAGCCTAACTTCATTCTTACTGGGACAATGAAGCAACACCAACGAGAGGTTTGGAGGCAATATTATATATACATACAATTGACATCCAAATAAAATATGAAGCGACCGTCATAGCATTAAGACTTTAACATATGAACGTGTTAATCGACACCCTGCCAAAATATAAAACATTTTGTGAAATAACCGACCTATGGTCCCACAACATGCCACATAAAGTGTATGTCTTAATATTGGACATGTGGTGGTGTTAACCATCCTCTTTTCAGCCTAACCTAATTAGGGTTAAGTTTGGGGATGTGCAGTCACTGCACAGTGGTGCAGATGTGAAGAGATCTGTAGGGAAGAAAGGGGATAGAAAAAATAAGGAAATAAGAGGAGGTATGTTTCGAATGATGCTGTAGATTAAAGCAGATTCCATAGTTGAAAAGAAGCTTAGACACGGTGGAAAGTGAGGACCCACTATTCTGTGTCGTCTCTAGGCCAGGACTACACAGCGACACAGGAGATGCTCAATTGTCTTCGTCTCCTCCTCATCTCATCACAGAGTCTGCAGTAATAAGTAACATCATGGTCCCATCAAGGCCCTGATATTGCAATGGCCAGTAATGACTCCTGTCATTACTCTAATTTCAGCTTTACACAGGTTCAACAGTGAGTTTGTTCTCTTGGTTGACAGAGTTGGCCAGATAGATCTTGACACATTGCACCTAGGTTCGTTGTGCCAAAGTTCATTGGCTCGTTCGTCGAGGAACACCTCAAATTTCTGAAAAAGGTGACATATGGGGGTGTTTTGATTGAGCCATCGATTGCTAAATCTGTGGATTGAGATCCTCGTCTGTTTTTTCATTACCCATGTCAGTGTCATGATGGATGTTAGAAAGTGTTTCCAAAACTGCTCTACACTCGAGAACGACCACAGATTTGATGGGCACCGGTTCTACGATCACAGCATCTAGACTTTTTATCAATTCTGCTGCCTTCCAAATCGCGAAGATTTCAGATTGGAAAACACTACAGTTGATATCCAATTTGTAAGATCAAGGCCTAGCCTTTCGCAGTAGGCACCAGCCCCTGTACCTTCTAACCTAATTATCTCACAACGCAGAAAAAGTCACTATTTGGTGCCAAGGTGTGATTGGACCTTACATCTATGAAATTCGGAACTTTATGGTCACATTATAACCGACTTGTTTGCATTCTATTGTATAATACGATCTAAGGAATATGTGGTTTCAACAAGACGATGTCACATGCCACACAACTTGAAGAACTTTGCAAGAGGCAATTCCTGACCGCGTAATTTTTCGTGGTGGTGAATATCAACTGGTCACCAAGATCATGCGAAGAACTGTTTTTATGTAGATAAAACCTTCAACTCTCGAGCATTCGTCTTGTTATGACTGAAACCATTCGTCATGTTATGGCTGAGAAACCACCCCAATATGTGCCAACAAGTGGTCGAGGGAAATTATCTACAATCAATCAATGGCACAAATAATTATGATGTGATAACTGACAAATTTACACTTCTATAAAAAAATATTTTAGGTACACACTTTATGAAGTACCAATGAAACAATTACTTAAAAAACACAAACACACAATTTATGCAGATACTCTTATAATAATACCAAAACATTATTAACACAATTCTGAAATTTACAAATAGAAACAACAACAAAATTTAATTATGAAAATGAAAACCAACGAAAATAATATTTCCAAAATATTAGTAAATAAATTTACGTAAATTCGTATAAGGTGTCTATGTGGTGTGATGTAACAGAGAGAGAGGGGGTGGGTGGGAAGGGGAGATAGCAATACTTACAACCCAGTTAGCCAAACTATAACAAATAGTCCAGGAATGATTGTGGCGCGAAAAAGTGAATTTAGAAAATTATAGCTTTCGTACATGGCGTTGAATTTCTTTTTATTGTTGCTGTTTTATTTTCGATTATATAAATGTTCTGTTTATATATTTTGTTTTAGCTTTAATGTTATTGGTTTTACTCTTTGTAATAATATTTATTTATTTTTTTATAGCAAGAAAACAACCGGTAACCAATATTTTATTCTATACAGTTCTATTGTTTTTTGGGAAGAGAATATGAGTTAGTTTATAATGTTAAAAATTGAGGTGGAATAATTTTTATAGCAATGTTATTTTTAATGATTATTGATATATGTGTTATTATAGCAATAAATATTTTGTGTGAAATTCATGAAGTTTTTGATTTTGTTAATATATCACAAAAATATGTACACATTTATCAACATTTTATACAATTGTGTTTTATATAGTCTTTATTTAAATTTATTTATGTTTGTAAATACTGCGTCTCGGGTTTTTGTTGTAGTTGTTATTTATTATTTATTGTCTGTAAACGGTGTAAAAAACGGTGCCAATTTTAAATCAGAAAAAGGAAAGCATATTAAAAAAGAGAGAAAATCAATTAAAAATGGAAAAGAGTAAATTTAAGAAACTTATTTGTTATAATTTGTATTATTTAAAATTAGAATTACATATACCAAAACAACAAATATGCCAAAAAAGAAAAGTTGTGTCACTATATTATTAATGTACAATTAATGGACATGAATCAAAAACCCTCTACATTTAGTCAAGAGCATGATTTAACTATAGATTCACATTTTTGATTATTCTTATTTCAAGTATTCGGTCCGACTCAAAACTACTAATTGAGTATCCGATTGCCTGGTCTGAACTATATTTTGGTTCAATTTTTTGTCCATTACTGTCCACCAGACTAGCGACGTGTATGTTACGATTGGTCTAATAACGCTCTTATAGATCCAATTTATCATCTTTGGAGAAAAACCCCATTTAGAGCCTAAGGCTCTTCTGCAGAAGAAGCAGCATTAGTGGGCTATGTATACCAGTTACTATATGTGGTCTTTCCATTTAAGTCTTCAGTCCATTTAACTTTATTTGATATGTTTATCACTTTGTTTTGAAGGATATGTTATCCGTCTTGGCCGGATTTACGTTAATGCCCCTCGTCCAGTTATAGACGATGTTTAGCATCGTTTCAGCATACATAGTGTATAAGGAACTGAATTAAACTGAAAAAGAATATTGAACAGTTGTACTCAACCTGTCGTTAGCCACCCATATTGCTTCGGAAGCCCAAAATTATGCAGTGTTATGCAGAAGCCATTTAATGACGCCACCAGCTGCGAATCGTACATGCGGAGTCAGAAGCAAACTAATTAAGGAAACACAACAATCATAAATCAATTTGCTACAATAACATTATTCTACCAATAACGTAAGTTGTATATTAATTTTGGGACACCGATAACACCACGAAAATTTTACAGGATACCATAAAGTACCAAAAATAAATGTCGATTTAGAGATGTCGGTCTGCCTGTTTAAACATTTTATCAATTTTAGGATTTTTTTCAACCGAATTGGTTGGTTCCTACCAAAAATGATCAATATTGGTGCTCTTTTTAGGGTAGCTCCCATAAGGAAGTACTTTCCAAATGTCGGAAGCTGCGCGAAACATTGGTTCTAGCTGACTTTATCTAGGCATGCGTGTCCGTCCGTATGTCTGTCCATTATAATTTATGAACACAGTACAAGTCACAATTATGGGCCAATCGTCAAGTAGGTTCGATTCGGGAAGACTTAGAATACTCCTATTGTTATACCCCCTTCCACCATAAGGTGGTGTGTATATTAGATTTGTCATTTCGTTTGGAACGCCTCGAAATATTCGCCAAGGTATGTATATTCTTGATCAGAATAAAATTATATGTGGATTTATGTGTCCGCATGTTAGAATCACAATATAAATCGCTCTGACATTGCTAGTACTCCTAGGATTCCTCAATATTCGGTACTTTGGGGGTTTTGGACACGTTTGGCAGTGATTTGGTATTTTGGGTTCTCATTGCGTAGCACATCTCCGTAGGTACGTTTACTTCACTTTTATTAACATTGACCAAAGTTTTCGGGTAACCCCCATATAACGATACCCCTCAATATTCGGTATTTAAGCGATTTTCGACACGTGTTTCAACCGAATTGGCTGTAACTTTGTATATTGAAATTTTGGGGTTTTATTGTATAGCACATATCCATATTAAATATTATTAACATTGACCCAAGTTTCCGGGTAGCCCCCATTTAGCGGTACCCCCAATATTCGGTATTATGGGAATTTGATTCTCATTGTATAGCATATGCCCGTAGCATAAATTATTTATATTTTCAATTTTTTTAATTTTTCACCGAATTGGGTATAATTTGTATTCTCATTAGCTTTTAAATTTTACTACCCAAAATGAGCAATATTGTTGCCCGTTTCGGTATAGCCCCATAACACGCTGGACCCGCTATTTGGTAAACATCTTTTTCTCACCTCTTTTTCGGTATTTCCTATCCTATCATGTCCTAGGAGCCCCCATACATTTTACATATTTTGAATATCATTCTCATGGTGGAAAAAATAAAAAGTTCGCTTGGGCCGAACTTAATATTGTTTTAACTTCTTTTTGCTATTAGTTGGTTAATATTTAGGGGATTAAAACTTTATTACTGTATGTTTTTCTGGTCGCTGTAGAGGATACAATTTTGACCCGAGCATTACGAAATGAAATGAGATCTGACCAAAGATTAACTGTTTCGATGTATGTCTTTCAATACTTAACGGGTTAAATGGACCAAGACATTTGTGTGAAGGACATAGACCGACGAATTGATAGTATCCAATTATATGCATATATGTACTCGAACGTAGAAGTTGTTTTACATTAAAAAGAAGAATAGGGGGACAGAAACCTTTAAGATTGTTACCCGATGCGAATTCATTTCTAGGAGCAGCGACAGATTCTATTTTGAGAAATGCCTTGATTTGATCCTGATGGCGTTTCCATTGATTGACATATTCTTGGTCGTTTGGATTGAGAACGATCACACGCATTTAAAACAGTGATCATAGCCTTTGAATTGGTGTTGATATTCTTAGACTTGGAAGAAATTTTTGGTTACAAAATTCTCAAACGATTCTTCTGGAAAAGAGACTTCTGAAAATTTTTGGTTGATTTCCTTAGATTTTCGTGTATCTCCTGCATTGCCAGGTGGTACATTTTCAGATAAAGCCCGTTCCTCCGCCGACGTCGGTTTTTCTAAATAGTTATTTTTACAATATGCAATTTTTTATTGTAATTTACATATATTTTCTTTTCAGACACTAACAAATTCGTCTGTGATCATATGATAATTAGTGGATGAAATAGACGGAAAAATTAACTTTTCTTAATTTTACACGCGGAACGGGATCTGGCAAGCTAATTAGAATGACTGTTGTGATAATGATTGGCCAATATTTGAATCTTATGGCGTAAATGTTGACTCCTGGAAATATGATTCGGAAAACATGCTATGTAGAAAGTGGTGCAAATTTCACGAAATATTATCTAGACTCCGAGTATAGGGCCTGTCCGGAAATGCAAAACTGCGCTGCATAATATGATTATTATGCCATGCTTTTGCTAATCAGCTGTGCATTATGCTTTTTCATTGCATCACATATTTTTGCGATTGCACTAATTACCATAGATCTACAGAAAGTTTGGATAGTGGTAGTGGCGTATGATATGGTCGTTCTTGTTTGACTATACTGCTCCACCTACTGTTTTTCTATTGTATTAGACATGAAGGTAATTTCGATCTGCTTTTAAATCGGACAATCCCACTATCAAAATATATACAACAATTTTTTACGAAAAAATGGGAAGAAGGTCAGTCGACTTTTGAAGGTACAGAAAACTTGTTGTTTGTTTTGAAATAAATTTAAAATTTTCCCCTTTTAAGTTCTTGTTTTGAATATTTTGTCTAGCAAGTCTACGCTTGGCATGTAGAATATTTCAAACTAGAGGTGGCAAACTATCGATAGTAATATCGATAGTATCGATGGTTTGGTTTTCACTAGACTATCGATGGTTTTTTTTCGATAGCGATACTATCGTTGAAAAAACGGATTCCGGCATTTATTCAGTTAGAGGCGCAACTTTGTTAATTAAACGACTTAGATATCTTCTATATAAACCGCGTCGTTAATTTATCAACTTTGATTTGTCATAAATATATGTAAAAAACAGAACACTGTTTAAAATGAACAGATATCTGAAAAGACCAAACGGTAAGTAAAATGTGTTTATTTATATTTTGTTCAATTGTTGATTAAAAATGTTTACAGATATTTCTACCTCCATTTCCATAGAAGAAACTGGTAATGAAAATGAAGAAGAACGTGAAAATTGCACGATTGGTGGGGAAACTAATAAGTCAAAAAGAGCACGCCACGGTTTCTCAGAAGTATGGAACTATTTTCAAAAAACAACAGATAAAAGAAATGCTAAGTGTCAGCTGTGTGGGAAAATATACAAAACTAGCGGTAACACGTCAAATCTGTTGGATCATTTAAAACGTAGCCATCCTTCTTATAATCAGCTTCCGAAACCAACGAAAACAATTGATAATTTTTTCAACAATTCAGTCACCTACGATACTGAATCGGCACGTAAAAAAGAACTTGATAAGGCTTTAATGATTTTGATCGCCACTGATGTACAGCCATTCAGTGTAGTAGAGGATACAGGATTCCGTGATTTTGTCCGATGCTTAGATCCGCGCTACGTTTTGCCTTCAAGAAACACCCTAAAAAACGTTCTGATGATAAATATGTACAACGAAACAAAGAGTAAGTTGCAAACTATTCTTAACGGGTTACAACACTGCGCTATTACAACAGACCTATGGACATCGCGCGCAAATGAGAGCTACCTCACCGTAACGTGCCACTTTGTTACAAAAGATTTTGTTCTCCGTACAGCTGTTTTGTCTACAAAAAAAATGTTATGTTCCACTAATCACAACGCAGAAAATATATCAATATCTA